TTAGGAGAAGTCGATCCTGCACCTCGTGGCGTGTAAAGAGACCCTGTGCTTGCTGACATCCACAAAAAACCCAGCCAAACAAAAAAATCCTCTGCACCCACACTGCTGACTTCCTCCACTTTTATGTAAATTAATATTAATAGGTCCTGGAGTTCGGTTCCTGTACAGATATATACAAATAGGAAATAGTTTCATATTTACATCATTAAGTTAATTAGGCTCTATAAAAAAAAAAAGAACAGCTTTCCAAATTAATGTCGTATGTACAGACAGCAGAGGTGAGCTCACGTCCTTGGCGCGGTCACATTGACAGTGTAATGTACACTAACCATTACCTCCGGCCCCATGGGCCATCGGGGCCACGCGGGCCGGGCACAGACGGGCAGCGGGCACAAGTGTGACGAGCAAAAGGATCCTGCTCCGGGCTTTTCTGCTCTCCGGGACCCGGCAGGGAATAGTGCTTGTTTCTCGTGAGGCACACAAGTACCACGGGGTCAATTCGTGTAATGTACACTACCAGCGCTCTGCGGATCCCGTGGAAGGCACAGAGCCCGGGTTTGAGTCCGTGGATTCTCTGCACGGCTTCTCCCAGGTGCTCCTCGACGGTGCACACCTGCAGCGGCACGAGGCTGGTCCGATTCCCCGAGGGGCCGAGTCCTTCGGAGAGCCCCGGTGTGAGCGGACGGACCCAGCCCCGGGTCACACGATGCTGGCCAGTTCTGTGTTGTCCGACTCGGAGCTGCTGTTGCTCTCCTCCCTGGGGGCAAAGGGTTGGGGAGGAGGCGTGGAGTGAGCCATGGAGCGAGCCCTGCCTCCAAGCAAACCTCTGCCTTGGAGCACAGGAGCCTCCGAAGGGCTCGAGAGGGACGTCACCGCCTTGCGCAGTCCCCAGACGAGTTTTCTTTAGCAACTGGGGCGGGTTCCCTGTTGATCTCCAACACTTCACGCCATCTCTTTGGAAGTTGGGATTGGGAAAACAAGCCAGCCCTTCCCTCACCCCACCACCCACGAGTCCTGGAGGATTCCTGGACGAGTCACAGTGTGTCCCAACCCGTCTGGGCCTGATCCTGCCCCCGCACACCCCACTGGCATGCTGGCTACCTCCACAGCACAAGCTGACGCTCACCTTAAGTCCTGAAGGGCTTTCTTGTTTTTCTTCCGCTTCTCCTCGTCGATGGGGTACAGCTTGAAGAGGAGCAGGCCCAGCAGGATCAGCCCCACAGGCACGGCCGACACCAGCATCTTCAGGGTGAAGTTCACCTCGCTGGGCTGGGAGCAGCCCCGGGTCTGGTACCCTGCAAAGCTGCAGACAGAAAGGAACCTTCAGGCAAAGGAAACAGAGATTGCAGGACACAAAACTGTCCCTGCAAGTAGAGGTTTGTGGAGCCACAGGTGGATTTAGACCCTCCCCACCTCTCTCCCAGCCCTTGGGAAGCAGCGGTGGCTGGATGCAGAGGCACTAGGCTGGCCTCCCTCCGTCCTCCCCAGCTCCCACGCAAAAACTCACTCTAAGCTGAGTGTGGAGATGCCCAAGGAGACCCCAGAGGTGAACTTGGTGAAGAAGACATAGAAGGAGAAGAAGATGGCTTCATGGCCATGGGAGTCAGGGTGCTGCAGCTTGAAGTCATCTATGACATCCGGAAGCATGGACCTGTGCAGAGAGAGGAATGGTGAGCACTAGGACAGAGCCAACGAAGCATCTCCTGTCCCTGCTGAGAGGATTTCCTGCCAAGAGCCCCATCTTAGGCTGAAAACACCGCAAAAAAGCCTCCCAAGGATTTCCAACCACTCCAGCAGGCCCTGGAAGCACCTTGCCCAGCTCTTGGGGTGCAGTGCTGAGAGCACCAGGACCTCACACTCACCAGGGCAGGAGGAAGGCGGCTGCGACGCTGATCCCAGCTGCAACGGCCACGAGAGAGGATTTCCTGCCAAGAGCCCCATCTTAGGCTGAAAACACCGCAAAAAAGCCTCCCAAGGATTTCCAACCACTCCAGCAGGCCCTGGAAGCACCTTGCCCAGCTCTTGGGGTGCAGTGCTGAGAGCACCAGGACCTCACACTCACCAGGGCAGGAGGAAGGCGGCTGCGACGCTGATCCCAGCTGCAACGGCCACGATGTAGGTGATGATGAGGTTACTGTCGCGGACAGCGACCACGATGAGGAAGGGGATGGCAGACTGCATAGGGGGACAGAAACCAGGTTGTGTCAGCAGTGCCTGACCCAGACTCCGTGGTCTTTCCCCGTCCCTCTGGTGCACGCCAGCCCTCTGACTGCAGGGATGGCCGGGGAAGCAGCAGAGCAGGCTTCCTCCCAGAACCCCGCAGTGGCCATTTCTGCTGGCCTTGGCCACATCCCTGACAGCACAAATAGCAGCACGAGGGACAGGCACCGAATCATCATCAGCAGCCCCTGCCCAGCTCCAGGCCCTCCTGGGGGGGCACACAGCTCAGCTCACCCTGTGTGGGAAACACCATCCCGATGTGCACCTCTGTGTGCGAGGGGACCCACTCACCGAGATGCCCACGTAGACAGCAGTCTTCTTCCCAAAGTGAGTAAGGAACCATTGCCAGAGGGGAATGGTCAAGGTGGCCGAGAGCTACGGGAAGAGAAGGGGGTTGCGGTGTCACTTGCTAGCCAGGCTCTTCTCTGGGGGAAAAGCTTTTCCCAGCAAGGAGCAGCTCCTGGGCACAGCCTCCTCCATCCCATTTCCAGCACCTTACATTTCCACACACTTCCAGGGCTGGCACGCAGCCATGCTTCCTGCTCTTGCCCTCACGCCATCCCTCACCTCACCATCCTTCACCTCCTCCCAATTGGAGTGGGTGCATGGGGCCACCTCCTCCCCCCATGCAGAGCACCCTGGCACCCAGCACCGCCGTCCTCAGGGGACTTGGCAGGTGCCAGCAGACTTGCCCAAACAAAGGGAGGACCCGACTCGATCCTCAGTGCTGGGAAGTGACCTGATTTTGTCACCACTGTCTGCACACAGCATGGCCAAGAGCCAGGCTCTGTGGAGACCTTGGACCTCTCTGCTCCATCAAGCAAGGAGGATGGGAAGGGCTCCCAGGAATGAGGCAAGCTGGAAAGGGCTCTCAAGGACCTGTTTTGCTCCATCTTCCTGACAGTAAACAGAGATCCTTTTCTCGAAGCAGGGGGAAGGGAGATAAGTGGCAGGGCTTGGACAAAAGGCTCCCAAGGCTCCTGGTCTCTCCCGTCTCTGGCCGCCTTCACATGGGAACAAAGGCCTCCCTGTTCCTGCCAACTCGCCTGGCCTTTGCAGGACATTCGGCAGCTTCTTCTCCCTTCCCTTCTCCCAGAGACCTTTGGTCACTGTCCCCACAGCAGATTACCGCAGCCCCGCAGCATCCTGCCCTCAACCCACGGAGCACCCATCCCCAGGAGATCCCATAGCATTGTCCCACCACAGTCCTGGCCCCAAGGGGCTGCAGGACGGGGCTGTACACACCATGATGGCCAGGAGGATGTTCTGGAACTCGTTGCGGAAGCCCAGGGTGTAGGTGCAGAAGAGGGCGAAGTTGCCCTCCAGCAGCTGTGGAGGAGGTGGACAGTGGTTAGGGGGGATTAGCACCCAGAGGCACATGCTCCTCCTCACAAGGCTGCGTCCAAAATGTGAACGGGGGAAGAAAGTGGCCATTCATCGACCCATCCGAGGGCACGAGGCCACATCCTTCCTCTCTGCCTGGGGCAGCTCCGGCTCATTGAGGTGCCTCCTCACATGCTCCCAGCCCACTGGGATCCCATTGAGACCTACGCTGCTGATCCCCCCGCCATCTCTGCGCTGCTGCTCTTCCCTCTGCCCCATCCTCCAAGCCTGGCTGTGCTTACCATGAAGGCCAGCGAGGTGAAGAGGAAGCCGACAATGAGCTTGATGTAGGCGCCATGGTTCATCACCAGCTTCAGCCCCTGGAAGAAGGAGACAGGCTCGTCCGACTGGAGCTCAGAGGACTCTGGGGAGCAGAGCAAATCAGCCCATCGTTAGACCCACTGAAACAGCACCCTTGGGTGCAAGGGGTGCAGTGCCTCATGCCTGCTGCTGAGCACCTTGCACAAGCCCCTGCCCACCTACAGCATCCCACCCCAAGGGAGTCAGGGCAATGCCTGCAGGCGCCTCCCTGCCCTCACACAGGGGTCTCTCAGCCCCATGGTGGGGATGGCCTGGCTGATCCAGCCAGAATCAGCAGAGCTGGTCACAAAGAAGAGGGAGGGAAGGGCAGAAGCTACTGGACTTTGGATATCACCTCACCCTGGGGTGCCCTAGTTGGCACAAGCAACCTTGGCCAGACAAAACTGCAAGATAAAATTTATCTCTGACAGTGCAGAGCAGAGCCAAGTCCTCAGGGCTGTGCTGTAACGTATCCTGGAGATGCTCTGGCCTCCTGCCCTTCTGCAGCACCTTCCCCAGGCCCCCATACCCAGACCTCAGCTCTACCTGCCCCTCTCCTCCAGTGCTTGACCCACGGACGAGGGGCCAGGAGATGAGCCGGGCTCCTCAGGAGCCCCTGGCAGAAGCCACAGCATTTCCACAAGTCCAGAGTATTCCGTCGTGTCTCAAGCCTCACCTCTCTTCTCCCGCACGCCCACCGACAGGATCACGGCACAGAGGATGTAGAGTCCCCCGATGACCCCTGCAGCGATCATGTAGGCATTTCTCTGTACAAGAGGGGAGGGAGCGGTGAGGGAGGGGGCTCATCCCAGGAGCCAGCCTGGGCAAAAGGGCAAGGAGAGCATGGCAGGGCCTGCCAGCAGGTCCCCCCAGCTTACTGTGTCCGTGAGCGACCCGGTGTCGTGGGTCATGTTTAGCTCCTCCATGGCCACCGAGGAGTTGGTCTTCCCGATGAAGAGGGGGCTCTCGATGCAGGGAGTGATCACCTTGCCTACAATCTGGCCCTGGATGGCGGTGCCCAGCACAGTGCCCAGCACTTCCACTGTCATACCTGGAGAGAGAGGCCAGCGGGACTGAGCACAGTCCTTGGGCACCCAGGGCATGGGTGCAAGCCCCTTCTCCACAGCAGAACCTCCCCAGATGCAATTCATTGCCCTTCACCAGGAGAAATGCGCCCGCCCAGCTCTCCTACAGCTCCCTCCAAATCACCAAGTGATAAAGCCTGTGCTACACAGGGAAGGAGACAATCTGGTGGGGAAACTGAGGCAGGGAGCGAGGCCAAGACTTGGCCATGCTGCTCCCACTGTTGTATGACAGAGCAGGAGGAAAGACTTGGGAGCTCAGATCCCCCATCATCTGCTCCAGGCACTTGGCCATAACAGGAACCACCTCCCCGTCAGCCCAGCTCCCACCAGACTAGACAAGGATCTCTGCTGGAGGAGCCAGGGAAGAGGAATGGGAAGAGCTGGAGCAGCTGCAATTCAAGCCCTGAACAATGTTCATCACACACCGTACTTGGGGTGTGATCAAATGATCCCTCCTCCCTCTGGAGGAGGATCAGGCCCCAGTGAAAGCTGCATCAAAGGAGCTGAGCACCAGCTGCTCCCCAGCCATGGCGAGGAAGGGAAGGAAATGCTCTTACGGTAGGCGGTGGCCGAGTCCCGCTCGCTCTGCTCCCTGCTGATGAACATGGTCAGCGCCGAGTAGGGCACGTGGAAGCACTGCAATGACATGAGGAGAATTAGCTCAGGGATGGGAACCTGCCCCTCTGCGTAGCTCCACGAGGTAAAGGCAGGGATTCCTCCTCTCCATCCCTCACCCACCAGCCCTGGTGCGTACAGAGCCCAACTCACCGTCACGAGGGTCTGGAAGATGCAGTAGAAGGTGAGGTACCACATCACTTGGCCGCTAGAGATGTCCGGCACAAACCAGATGAGAAAGTAGGAGATGACGGCAAACGGGGTGGAGAAGATGATCCTTTGGGAGAACACAGCGTTAGCTCATGGGCACGCAGTGCCTCTGTAACTCCACCAGCCCAGCTCTCCCCGCTGCCACACGTCCAGTGGGGTTCAGGCATCTGATTTTGGTGGCTCCTGGGCTGCCCTGGGGCAGCCCGCCCTGCTCCAACACTTCGATGGGAGGTGGTTGCCACAGGGATGACACAGACCAGGCTGAAGGCAGCAGCTCAGGTTTCACAGGACAGGAAAGAGAAGAGCCGACTCATACTTCCAGGGAAGAACTTTATTCGCAGGAACAGACATCCCTGTTTCATTGGAAGAGATGAATCTGCTCCTGCCTTTGGCTTCCACACCC